ATTTCAATTCAGTCTCAATTTTGTAAGGATGCAAAGCACTCGTATCTCGGATGGCACTATGACTATTGGAGAATTCCAATTATTAATTCGTATTTATTAATCATAATTATTAGTTATATAGTTGGACTCACGGTGGTATTTGTAACTATATACTACCTTTGTCCCTCAAAGTTTGTCACATTTTGACTTTTTTAGTCAAACTTGTTAAACTTTGACCGCTAATTACTCAAAAGTAAATAGGGAGTATATTTTATACCAAAAAAAGTATTTAATGTGATCTTTGTAATATGTATTATTCAAATGTCAATTTATTATAGATTTTATAGGTATATATTAATAGATAATTACGGTCAAACGTCTACCTAGAAGACCGCAAAAGTCAAAGTGTGACAAACTTTGAGGGACGGAGGGAGTATATGACCAAATTACATTCAAAAGAGATTGAAAGAAATGTAATAACCAAATTATGACACTAAAAATATATCAGTTATATTTGTATAAGATTGAAAGAAATAGCCCTAAATAGGAGTAGAAATGTTTCTGCATTTCAAAAAGAACTTTCATGTCTACTCTTTATTCCTTAAATAGAAATAATTACTGTCATATTATAGTAGTATTAGATTTTAAACATGACAGAATTTTTGAAACTTGACAGTCATTATTCATATTTGGGGAATAAATACTACCTCCGGTTTTTTTTAATCTTCACAGTTTGACTTCACACAAAATAAGGAAAGAAATGTGACTTTACTGTAGAGTACACTGTTGAGACACTGTTTGACACTGTTTGGCACTGTAGAGACACTGTTTGGCACTGTGGAGACATTGTTTGACACTGTTGGCACTGTTTTGATGTAGATTTCTTTGCCAAAAAAGGAAATAAGGAAGTGTGAAGTTTATTTTAGACCGTCCCAAAAAGGAAAGTGTAAAGTTTATTAAAAACCGGAGGGAGTACATGATAGTCAATTTTTGAAATTTTCAAACGTTTTTACTCTTATTTCGTGACGAATTTCCCCTAAAATTTTGTATGTAAATTATCAATAACTTCGACCCAACTAATCTTACTCTCTTTAGTTTTGTCCCAACCCGATCTTGACATCTTTTATCGCGCCCCTTCAAAAAATAGTCTGGTTCCGCCACTGCATACCGAACCACCCCTAGATACAAATATTACGGAGTACTCCGAATTAAATAGGCTCACGTGGCAGCCACGTAAGCGTGTCCAACCGGAAAACTGGTGAACAACCGGCTATAGAGTTGATTTGAGTAGGGTTAGATCGGTACAATATACCGTAAATTTTCGGTACGCAAAAATACATACCGTTACCATACCTAAATTTCATTATACCTTGTTTTGGTACACCGAAAACTCAGTACGGTAAATGTACGGTATCTATAAATTATCATAATTTAATACTCCCTCCATATTCTAAAGTTTGCTACACTTTCTTTTTTTGGATGTATTTAAAAATTTGCTACACTTTCCCTTTTTGGTAAATTTTTTCTTTTAAAAATACTCAATTATCCTCATTTTTTCTACTTTTTTATCTTCTCTTTCATACTTTTTCACCCTCTCTCCTACTTTTTCAACACTATTCATTATCCCTATTATTTCACCCTAAAATGTTGTGCCCAAACCTAATGTAAAGAACATTGGAATACGGAGGGAGTATAACAAATTATTATGCCAAATGAAATATAGAAAACATGTGTTAGATGTGATATACTAAAATCATTAATGAAATTAATTATAAAATACTAATGATAATCTATTGATGTTCTATTCAATTTTGAACAAAAATAATTATAAATATGTTTAGATATTTCAACACATGATATATAAAGATAACAACATATTCTCCTAAAATAATTAAGCAACACATATATAAATAAAATAACACCGATATCCAACAAAAAGTATAAATAATTCAAGAAACATAAATATAAAGTCATTTATCCTTAAATTAATATTGTGTTTCTATTCACTCTTATAATTTTTTAAAAATTATTGGCTTGAACTTACAGTATGACAGTTTACCGATATACCGTATTTTTTCAAAATATATATTGATACCATACCGAAGTAATTCGGTATTGTACCGAAAGTGTCGTTATTCCAAACATTTCATTAAATTTTGATATTTTTGCCCATCCCTATATGATCATATTTTATAAAGTTATTACCCTAAATAGGACTAAAAAATTATAAAAATTCCAAAGTAGGAGTTATCTTTAATTTATTCCCAGAATAGGACTAATTTAATTAGGCTACCTATTATACCCTTTCCGCACGTATCTGGATCGTTGGCCTCTCCCCAGTCCCCATCACTTTCTTTTCTTTCCACTTTTCCCTCTATCCTCTCAGATCTATCCTCTATCCCCACCCCCCTTTGTCTTCTATCTTCTTGCCTTTCCTCTGCAACTTTATTTCTTTCGATCTCAATTTCATCTCTTCTTCCACTCTACAATAGCTTTTTTCAATTTATTATCTCAATTTTAGATTCATCTCATTTCCGATGGATTATGTGCTGAAATGTCTCAACATGTCCTACCATCGAAGGGTGGAGGCGGTGGCCGGCGGGCGGCGGGCGGCGGGAGGCGGGCAGCAGGCCGTTGGTAAGTTTCAGTCATCTTCCTCTTCATCCTTCTCTATTCTTCTTCTTCTTCCTCTTCTTCTTCTCCTCCTCCTTCTTCCCCAATTCTCTATTTTCTTCTGTTACCCTTCCCTGTGTTGAATAAATTTTGTATTGACTTCCATCAATTTTATAATGTTTCTGTATTATTTTAGTTTTTTATTTTAATCATAATTCCAGATTATTTTTTTGAACAATTCGATTGAATTTTTTATTAGTTATAAATTTGATTTTGATTTTTCTCATAGTGTCATCTTATTTAATCCCAAAATGTTATTTTGGAAAAAAATGACATATCACATATTTGAAACTTAATTGGAAATAATGTCATTTTATTAAGAAGATATGTATTACTATGTCATCTAATGTCATGTTTTCGGAAATGTTTTTGACAAATAATGCCACTTTTTGGCACTAAAGGCATACACATGACAATATTGCTTACTCAAGATGGCAATAGTGTATAGCAATAGTGTATGACAATATGACAATATCACATCAAAGAAATTTAACTCTGAAATTGATGTCTCCTTCTGGTCATGTATTACTATGTCATCTAGTGTCATATTTTTGGGAAATGTTTTTGACAAATAATGTCATTTTTTGGCACTAAAGGCATACACATGACAATATTGCTCTTACTAAAGATGGCAATAGTGTATGGCAATATGACAATATGGCATCAAAGAAATTTAACTCTAAAATTGATGTCTCCTTCCAAATAGAAATCACACGTCTTTTGCACAATTGCACCTAGCACTCAGGTGGTTTTGTTGCACAGAATGTCACCACATGTCTCAATTGCTCTGTATAATGACTTTGTAGAGAAATTAAAGGGCTACTCATGTAGTGTTGTGGATAAATTGTTGTGACGGTCTATGGAGAATGGGGTGGAACCAATTGAAGACTTATTGCAATCGACGGTGGTGGAAGAGTCGTCGCCGGCGATGACATGGGTGGCGGCAACACCCACTGAAAGCGGCGGCAGGAGATGACAGGGCCGGAGACGGCTGTGGTGGCAGAAGGGTTGAGGAAAAAATATGTTTTTTGGCATCGCCAGAACTCCGGCAACCGGCGGCGGCGGTGATAGGCGGCGGATTCGATAGGCGGCAGGATTCTGGATGTTGTGTCTAAGGCTGTCGGATCTCCGGCAGCCGGCGACTGGTGGAGGAGGAGATGGTTGTAGCATTTGCTCCATGGTGGTGAATGGTTCTGGTGAGATTCGTACGCATGCGGAAGAGATGTCGGTAGCAGTTGGAGCTTCTACTCTTAATATTTAAGGACAAATTGGTCAACTCGTGTCATTTTAACTCCTATGAAAAAGTAGACTCCTATTTATGCATTTCGTAGCTTATTTACTCCTATCCACGGAATTTTCTATTTTATATAAATTTTGTACCATCATATTTGTACTCATGCGGAGTACAAAGTTTTCTCTCTCTTCTTATTTCATTGTCGTGTTTCTTCTTTTCTTCTCCAATTTCTTTCCATATCTTGTTTTTTTCACTCAAAGTTTTCTTTTTGAAAGTATTGGTTCTCCCTTTAATTTTTGCATCCTTCTTCTTTCTATTCACTATGTTCATTCTTTCTATTTCATCTCGTGTATTCTTATTTCTTATTCTCATCATCTACTTTAAAATTTTCTTGTATACAAAAATTAAAATACCAGATCTAGCATAAATTAGCTCCAAATCAAACTTACACTTCAATAGCATATATGTATTGAAAAAATCCTTGGGGTCCAATTAACAATCTCGATCAATTTTTAAATCCAGACTATATTTAATAATCTTCGTTATCATCGGAAGTAAACTGGAAGATTGAAGCGAAAAGAAAAATTGAAAATCACGGACAAAGAAAAAGAGAAATCGATGTAAGTGATATATAAAAAGTAAGAAAGAGAGATCTTTATAACAAAAGAATTCCATAATTAATGTAGACCTTTTGTTTCACAGGAATTAGTTGTGGAATTTACAACGTAAAACAGCCAAAAACTCTGGAATTTGCTTTTACATGAAAACCAAGACTTTCTAGAATAAATATTAGACGAAGAAGAAAGTATTGTGAGCAAGGGGGAGAGTAAAGAGGGTATAAGTTTTTGAAGGTAATTGCGTTTTAAATGTTTATGTTGACGCAATTATCTTCAAAAAATTATGTGATTGTCTTCCCAATTGAAGATTTAGCCAAAATTTTCTAAAATTTTTATTGAAACCGGACGGTGCTCTAGTCAGGAAATTCCTGACCGGAAGATTACTCATTTACGGAGTATATAATGAAACAATATAGTACGTAGTACTACATAATTACGTATATAAAACTATTGATCGAGCAAATTAATTAAGCAACAGAAGAAATAGGAGTGCGTACCTTGGAGTTGGAGGGAGAAGCGGGACATTATTTTTCTGAGAAATTTGAGCAGCAAATTCGAGTTTCATTATCAAACTGGCATTTTTTCCTGCAAGTTAATTAGTTTACGGACCGGAGAAAGTGATACGACCTCTGCATTCTGCAGGCATTGAAATCCTCTTAAATTAGTGCCAGTTACTAGGGAGTATGGAGTATGGACCATACCCACGTGGGAGACATTTTTTTTTTTTTTTGAGAAATCAATTTAATAAATGGTTTAAAAGAACTACATATTTTATATATAAAACATTGCGCAATTTTAAAAAAATTAAAAATATTATTTAACTGGTTTATCAATTAAACTTTAAATTAAAATTTGATGGACATAATTATACACTTAGAGCCTGTTTGGTAGAATTAGAATTGATTGGAACCCACATTGGACAACTTTGTGGCCAAGTTCTTGAGGGCCTTGCAATAGGTAGAGATATTAGGGAAGCTCTCCAACCGAGTATTGGAGAATTCAGTCTCGAGATGAAGTGCTCGAGTATGCTTGTTGTCAAGAAAAAGATCGGCTACACGATCCCAAGCTTCTTTGGCAGTAGAATCGGGCTCGAGAATAGTGTGCAAGAGATCATGGGAAACAGTCCCATAAATCCATTGTAACACCATCGCATCAAGTCGTTTCCATAGAGCATCGGATTCGGCTTTGGCGGCGGCAGCGGCAATGATTTGTTCTGGGGTTAGGTCTGGAGGAGACGTGGTAGAGGTGGAGGCAGCCGAAGTATCGGCCTCAACGGGGAAGATGTGATCTTCAACCTGGTAGGCACGGGTTGTGATCTTAAAAAGTTCGGCCCAGGAGGCGTACTCCACATTCTCGAGATCAAGAGTAATGGGTATAAAACTTTTGATGTTTGTAAGAGCTAGAGCGGGGTGAAAAGACGGGGATTTGGCGGAAGCCATGGGAGGAAGAAGAAACTTGCGTCTGATACCAAATTAGAATTGATTGGAAATTCGACGTATTCATCTTATTCAATGAGTGATGTTTAAATACAAGTTGCTCTTTACAAAGTGGAGAGTACGGATAAAGTCTAATAACTAACTACCGATCTAGGTAAAGTATATCGCATAGCATGCGGTGTGGGTGAGCTGTGCATTTAGATAAGTTACAACAATAATTCAAAGGTGCGTACTTCGGTACCCTGGTAAAATTATGGGTACCATACCCATCCACTAAGGTTAAGACATGTGTCAATTTTTTACAGCAAGGATCTATTTTTGAGTGCTCTCGGTTCTCCTCCTAATTTGCTAATATGTCCCTAAATTATTTGATATCTAATTTGTATTGGTCTTAGTTAAACCTCCGTTAGTCCTTCCGTCAAACCCTATCGTTTTCCCATTTCTCATTCCCATTTCTCAACTATTTTGTTTCATCGTTTCTCTCTATCGCATTTCTGTCTGTTTTGTGTATTGCGATTACGGCGCTGGACAATGAATAATCAGTTGGATATGCTATTGGCGATCTTGACGACGGTGAAGAGGTTTGGTGTCGATAGCAATAGCTGTTTTTTCAGTTTTTCGGTCTCCTATTCGCCAGATGACCTGATGTTCGAGGGAGAGCGGGTGAATTCCGAGTACACATCCTTGGCTTACTTGACGATCGGGGAGACTCCAAAGTCACGTAAATACTCCTTGCCCTTCGAATTGGTGATCAAAATGGGAAGCTTCATGTCAAAGATAGGTAGATGAGTTTGGGTAATTGCTATATCCTCCAAAAATTATTATATGCCCTATTTTGATTGTTGTTTGCCCTATTATTATTTTTGTTCTGTATGCTTTTCCATTGTTAGTGTGAGCTTGAAAAGTTGCTAAAAAATGAGCTTGAAAAGTTGCTAAAAAATGAGCTTGAAAAACTATGGCTCTGTTTAAAAAATGAGCTTCAAAATAGTTGCTCTTCAACTCCAATTTAAGAATCACTCTTGTTTTTTTCAGCCTTAGTGGTCACAAGAAGAAGCATAGTAATGCCACCTGCTGCACTTTCTGGGACAGTAGGTGTTGATGACTTGATTCAGAAACTATTTTACTCTTTTCAAGTATCTTTCCATTACCAATGAGCTTCACATCCTTTATTGTCTTTGGCCCATTTTATTTTTATGTTGATTTCACAGTAATAATCATCACTTCTCAAATCAACTTCAAAGTAAGACACTTTCCAGCAACAAAATTAAAACATACCTAAAAGATAACATTATTGTCAAAAAGCTTGTGATAGTGTAAGAACTACACACCTGAAACAATATTTTTCTGTTTCACTTTTTCGTTTACTAGTTAGGGAAAGTATATCTTACTCTGAATTCTCCGTATATTCTAAGCTTAGTAAGAGTGTGTTGTGGTGTTTTAATCACAACTATATTATAAACTTATCAATGTTTTGAAATTAAGAAAGAGTGTGTTCTGGAACAAACTATTAAAAGAGTAGCTTATAGCAGCCATTCTCGGTGTTTTCAACCATGGTTATACTCTCCAATTCTTCGTTTCTCTGTTTTTTATTCTCTGTGAATACTGCTTCACTCCAGCATTCATTGACTGAGTGGATGTTTACGAAAAAACTGAGTTTTAATTCCTTTAAATGCATCTTTTTTGTTTTGTTTTGCACAACCTTTTTTCCTGCCATTTTTATCCATGTCAATTATGTTTAAACTTATTAACAAGAATATGAATAGATGCAAATAAGATGAGGCTTATTACGATGTCGATGTTCTACTTATAAGATGCAAATAAAGAAGGCAAATAAAATATCAAACGAGTTTGAGTAAAAAAAAACTCACTCCCAAGTCCTAACTATATTCTAAGCTTATTAAGAATGTGTTATGGTGCTTGACAAATTATTAATATCACCATTTCTGCAATCTAATTTAGTTCTTGTTGGTTGGATGCAGACACCAGTGCATACAATTGCCTCTAATGCCAGAGTAGAGGGTGGTGTTGTGGTTGTCATGTTGCTGTAGAAAGATAACCCTGATCTTGGATATGCTGCTAAAGGTATATAACTATATACTACGTATGTCTATGTATTTGTGACTTTGTGTGTATAAATATATTCTCTTGAATCCCACCCACCATCAATTTACAAATGATTTAGATAAATGAATAATGATTCCTAATCCACCCTATAGAAGTCCATTGATTCAGTCAGTTTAGAGTTCTTCTATTTGAAATTGATGAGGTTCAAACTTAGAGTCCACCACGCGATAGACATTTTTCAGTTAGTCCTTATGGTTGAGACTTAGTATGTCATTTATGACTTTCATTTTTGTCATTCTCATGGCTTGTAATGTTTATGATTCTGAATTGGTCACTGTGAGTGTGAACTGTGAAGGCTGTACACTAAATCACCATGGTAGTGATTTTTTCAGACATATGAATAAACTATTGTAATGGACTTATATATATTTAAAACTTAAAGTGACATTATTGAGAGTGACCTCATTTAAGCTTGCATCCACATATCTGTTATATATAACATCTTTGCATTACCAATATATTTTATTTAGTTTTTTTATGCAGCCTTTGAAGTGGCAGCTTCTATGAGATTGCAATTGATACATACATATAGTATCCTAATTATTCTGTTTTTTTTTGTTCTAATGACTTTAGTGCACACGTAAATGACTCCCAAAGCAGGTCTAGGACATCTACCTATCTTCATGGGTGATGTAGAAGTAGAAGGTCTGAAGGTGTTATATTTGGTGGAGAGCCATCTAAAAATAAAAACCAAACTGTAAAAGATGCAGCCATGGCAGCTTGGAAGTCCCTAAAATAATTCACCGGCAGGTAGATATCTACATTCTTCTGTATCTTTTCGAAGGTGGTGAGACAAGAGTGTAAATATAGGCACATTTTTTCACGCCTATTATATTATATATTTTTCTGCTTCTAAATTCAAGAAATATGCCTTCATGTTGAAGAGACCTCAGACATTGTGGTGGGGACTGTATGCATATGTTCGCCTAACCAAGAACGGTAGATTGAGGATGTAGTCGTATTCTGGATTCCAGCCAACTTTTAAAAAGAAAAAATTAAAAGAACTCAAAGACTTCACAAATACTAAGTCTGGGGTCTTTGATTATAATCAAGTGACTGAGAAAAAATACCATTTACTATTTTTTGGATTTAATACTCAAAGTCTTCAAAATATTTACTTTTTGAGAGTCATGTATTATCTCTGTGTTTATCAAAAACAACAACTTTTGTTGAAAATGTTAAAACGTCCTACGACTTTATTTACCGCAGCAGCACAGGAAATTTATGGTGTGAGATGTCTGCATTATGTGTCACATAATGAAAGTAAAACGACCTTTCATTGTTTTATAAATATTTTTTATAAAGCATGGTAAGAAGAGGGGCCTAACTTATCAGCTTGTACTAATAATTGATAGTCTGATAAAGTTATGAATGTAGATGTTAAGCATATGTTTTTTATTTGTTGTCTGATAGTTGACATAATCACTTTGTTATTTCTCTTTATTGGGCTTTCTTTTGTTTCATCTACAGTATCTTTTATTTTTAATACCTTAATGTATGGGTGGTATGTTCTGCACTGCAGGAATGAGATTTCTCAGGAGGCCACTATCTATCGTTGTTGCACTTTTGACAGCTCTAAGCATTGCTTTTCTGAATGACAGGTATTATAATGTCTAAGGCACACTTTTCTTGTAAGTGTATCAGAGCTTTTGGTTGTAGGTGAAGCTGTTTACTTTGAGTTGAATTGAATATTAAAGTGGAGGTAGTAATAATATTTGAAGTGCTCATTGATGTTTTCTGCATAGAGTATGTTAACCAAACTGTGGTTAACCGAAAGTCTACTAATAGGGGTCAATTGGTTTAAGACAGATAATTTGCTAATCATCAATCACATGAAATCTTACAGTAGTGGTTAAAAACCTAGTTATTTGCTAAACAAATCCTTGGGGTTTCTATAAGCAGGTCTGATTGCTTCTCTTCTATATGCCTTGATGAAGTTAACAATGATGCCTCTTACTCAATGTATGCAGGTCTGATAATATATTTTCGAAGCACTCTTTTCTCTTTGAGCTGTGCGTACTCTAGAGACTAGAATAAGCAGACCAGTTTTGGGCAATGAGAAGCAAAACATTAGAGTCAAAGAAAACAGTTGTTGGGACTGGTAATGGCCTTGGTGAATAAAAATGATGCCTTTATGCATTCATTAGATTAAAAAGTTAAAGCCTCCATGGAATAGTCAATATAAAAACATGCTTCTATGTATACTCACACCAGTCCTATCAAGCAAAAATAAAACCAAAGGAAAACCCCTGCTGCCAAAACAGGTACTCAGAAAACCCAGAAGCATAAAAAATAATAAGAATACTCACACTTAATGAATACAAAAACTGAATTATAAGAATACATGAATTTAAGAATATAAAATTGTAACTAATTAGGTCTAAAATATCCGTAGAGTAATCACGAAATCGTAACTAACTTAATTCAAAATAACTATGAAAAGTATCTCTAATAGTCTAATTTATCTCTCTATTGGTTTCATCAATAGTAAAATCAAACATGTGATCGAGAGATCTCTTCAACACTGCTTCATGCAAAATGTTGAATTTATCCAAGACCAGATCTAATGCCATCTTAAGCCTTGTACCATCATCGACCTGTAAATTATAAAAAAAATCATCACATAATTAATCTCTATATGTTTTCGTTTTCTAGATTAAAATATGTCAATGATATTGAGGTACCTCAATCTTGTATCCATCACTACCCATTGATGCCATCCACTTGTAAACCCACACGCCACAATCATTTCTGTTATAATGTACAAAAATTAGAGTAGCTTTGAGATGTGGATTAATAAATTTTAGGTATGATAAAACTCACGATCCAGACTGTTGACAGTTTAATCCATTTGGGGTGACATGAGTGAATTCTGAAACCACGTGTTTGTTTGTTCGTTTAAACTCGTAGAAAGAATAATCTTGCAGTAGAT